CCGTCTGCTTCTGATTAAGCCCCTTGTTGGTTGTTGGGGACACCTGGGTGGCAAAGTCAGACCCCATCCGTCTGTCCTAGAACAGAGATGAGTGCCGCTGAGCATGTAATGGGACCCCACCTAGCATAGGGGCTTTCCGGTAGTTGAGAAGGGACGCGGTAAGGGTAGCTGTCAGGCTGAAGAGGGTTGCCTTGGAATAGTGGTTCTCAACCAGGGGACCTGCAGCCAGGTCTGGAGACGGCTGTCATAACGTGTGGTGGAGGGGAGCCGGGTGGCGAGGAGGGCTGTTGGCCTCTAGTGGGTTAGGGTTAGGCCACTATGCTGCTAGCCACCCTACAAGGCACAAGACAGCCCCCACAGTAAAGAAAGACCCGCCCAAATGTCACCAGTGCCATGGTTGAGAAACTAGTTGGATGACTCGCAGAAAAGTCAGTTTGACTTAGAGGCCGAGGCTGGTGAGAGCTGAACATGGAAGGAGGGAGAGGGGATTCAGGACAGCCCCGTTTTCCCCTAAGCCCCCAGGCTGCGAAGGAGGCAGGGGTCCCTGGGGCCCTGGGCAGCCCTCTGCATAGCAGGGCCCAGTTTCCCCAACAGCCGCACTAGCGAGAATGCAACAGACGCCCGGGAACCGCAAGCACGTGGTACCTTTGCGGGGCAGGAAGCACTGCGGGCCTCAGTTTCCCCAACGGGGGAAAAAATGGGAGCCCCGAGGGCCTGGTCGTGGGGCCAGGCCAGGAGTGACCACATCCCTGGTGGGCGACGCCTGCTCGGGAACCGCGCCGCGGGAGAGGATTCTACCACAGACGAGAGGGAGTCGATGCTAATAAAGGGGAACGTGCGACCCTGCGTCCCAACCCAGCTTTCCCCGGCCTTATGCCGACCCCCGCGACCGCCGCAAGGCCCGAGTGGTCGGGGTCCCGACAGTACTACAACTCCCAAGATACCTCGCGCCGCCTGCGCCAGGAAGGGCCGCCACAGCCGGCGGCCAATGGGGGGTACGGAGGCGGGGCCTCTGCGCACGTGGCGTCCTGACGCACTGACGGCGACGTCGGGGTTTGTGTGCGCGAGAGGCCGCCGATAAAGGTTGGGTGCCTCGCGCCGGGGGCCGTTGGGAGGGAGCGTGCCCCCGCCCCCTCCCCGGCCCCCACTCCTACACCGCCGCTGCAGGGGCCCCGCCTTCCCATCGATCCCCGCGGGAAGGCCCTGGGTCTCCCCAGCTCATTCCCCGGTCGGGGCCGCAGGTGAGAGACCGGAGGGGAGGGGGTGGGGGAGGGACCGGAGGGCGGAGACGTTGGGGAAACGGCGAACGTGAAACCGGAAGGGATGCCTTAAAGGGAAGGGCGCTACTTCACCTCCGACTTTTGTCCGCCGGGCCGGCTTCGACTCTTTAAAGGGCAAGGGGCTGCTTTTTAAAGGGGCGGGGCAGGTTGTGCAGTTTATAAAGAGCTTCCCGCTTCCATCACCCCCCCGCCTCCCACCCCCCGAGAATAAATTGTCTCTTTAAAGGCCGGTGACAGTGTCCCAGGTACTGAAAGAAAAGCTTCTGAATCCTAGTGGCTTCAAAGCAGTCCCTAGTTTAGCTCAGAGAAGGTGAAGATGGTTGTGCAGGAGCAGGATCCTCTTAAAGGGGAAGTCGGGCCTGATTGGAAGGGTGTGGCCCGGCCTTTTGAAGAGGGTGCTCTTTACCAGATAAGATGGGTCCCGGCTCTTTCAGAGCACGGATGTCTCCTGTTTAAGGAATGCCGGCCTTCTGAAAGACACGTGCAGCTTCCTGGGATAGCCTCTTAAAAGGATTTGCTTATATTTTAAAGGGGACGCTCATCTTTTTAAAGGGAATCTTTACGGCTTGTGCAAAGGGATGCCCAGCTTTCTTTCATTCAAGATATGTTCACTGAGTACTCACTCTGTGCCAGATATTATTCTAGGCGCTGGGATGCAACAGTGAACAAGATGCCACTAGCATCTAGTGGACCGAGGCCGGGGATACTGCTAACCAACTTGCAATGCAGGAAACAGCCCCCTGTCCAGCTCCAATATCAACAGTGCTGATGCTGGGAAACTCTGATTATAAAGTAGGTTAGAAGGTGATAAGCCCTATGAAGAGAAAAAATAAGTCAAGGAAAGAGAATGCGGCATGCTGGGAGGGGTTGCAGAGTTAGGTAGGGTGGTCAGGGAATAATTCCCCAAGATGACATTTCAGCAAAGACTTGGAGGTGAGGGAGGGAGCTTACTGGATATTGGAGGAAAGAGGGTACTAGGCAGGGGCCTGTGTGGGCCCCTAGGTGGGAGTGGGCATGCCTGACCCGGCCCTGTGACCATGGTGCTCTGAGGGTTGGAGAGGCTAGCAGGACAGTCAGGGAGGGAAGGAAGCCATAAGCCGTGGGAAGTCTGAAGGTTCTTGTAAGGGGTTCGTTTTCTGCTCTCAAATGGGAGCAGTGGAAGGCTTTAGCACAGAGGAATGAAATGGTCTGTCTGTGTTGGCAGTTTCCATTCAGCCTCTGTGTTGGGAACAGACTGGGGTTAGGAAGAGTAAGGGTGGAAACTAGGAGAGCTGTCAGGCTGTTGCAGTTGCCCAGGAGGGAGATGTTGGTGCCCTAGGAAAAGGTGGTAATGGGGGACTTGGTGGGAAGTGGCCAGATTCCAAGGATGCTCCTGCTCGAATAGGGGAATCGGCTGACAGACTGGTCATAGAGAGTGAGAGAAAAAGAGGAGGTGAGGATGCCCTGGGACTTTTGGCCTGAGCAAGAATAAAGGTGTTTTTGGAGATGGAGCAGACTGGGAGTGAAAGAGATATTTGTGGGGGACAGAGAGGAGAGAGAGCAGGAGCAAAAACTGGACTTAGGTTTTGGGCATGTTAAGTTTGAGTTGTCCATTAGGCATCCAAATGGCATAGTCTAGCAGGGGTGTAGGTTTCAAAGGACAGGTATCAAGTGGAGATCAATTTTGGAATTGTCCAATTTATAGATTGTGAAGTCCCAGGAGTGGGTGAGGGCTTCCAGGGAGAGTGTGGATACAGAATAGGAGGGTTGACAGAGCCCTGGACTCTCCTACATTCACAAGTAGGACTAGCACCCGAAATTGAGAAGGGTGGCAGGTGAGGAGCGCGGTATCCCAGAAGCCAAGGGGACTGGTTTAAGGAGAGAGAGAATAAGGCGTCCATTGACCACTGAGCAGAGACCACTGGATTTAGCAACTAGGAGGCCATGAGTGGAGGGGGCTGGGGGAGGATCTGATTGACAGGGTTTGAGATGGGAAAGAGCATGTATTGATGGCACTTTTAAGTTGCTTTGCTGCAAGGAGACAGAGAAATGAGGCCATAGCTGGAGGAGGAAGTGGGGTGAAGGGTTTTTGTTTTTTTAAAGATGGGAGGGCTTCCCTGGTGGCACAGTGGTTAAGAATCCGCCTGCCAATGCAAGGGACATGGGTTCGAGCCCTGGTCCAGGAAGATCCCACATGCTGCGGAGCAACTAAGCCCATGTGCCACAATTACTGAGCCTGTGCTCTAGGGCCTGCGAGCCACAACTACTGAGCCTACGTGCCACAACTACTGAAGCCCACGTGCCTAGAGCCCGTGCTCCACAACAAGAGAAGGCACCGCAATGAGGGGCCGCACACCGCAACGAAGAGTAGCCCCTGCTCGCCACAACTAGAGAAAGCCCGTGCACAGCAATGAAGACCTAACGCAGCCAAAAAAATTTTTTTAAAAGTTACAAAGATGGGAGACCTGGCTTGTGGGTACACTGATGAGAACGGTCCAGGAGATGAGGAGAATCACTGTAGGTGGGAAGTCAGAGCCTTTAGGCCCAGAAGTAGGCAGGTGGGAGGGGGTAGTGCAGGGTTTCTCAACCTCAGCACCACTGGCATTTTGAACTGATTGTTCTTTGCTGTTTGGGGTTGGGGGTGGTGCTGTAGTGTGCATCGTAGGACGTTGAGCAGCATCCCTGGCCTCTGCCCACTAGATGCCAGGGGCACCTGCTCCTCCAGTCGACAGCCAGATAACCAGAACAGTCTCCAGGCATTGCCACATGTCTGCTGGGGTGGAGGGCGTGGTGGTGGTGGTCGAGGGAGCTTCCACTGCCCCATTGAGAGCCACCAGTGTAGTTGTTGGAAGATGGGAATGTTCTCTTCTGGTTGCTTTTATTTTCTCAGTGACAAGATCAATGGCAGGGTCACCTGCTAAGAGCAAGAGGGGATAGGAGAGAGATTTGAGGCAAGTATCACCTGGTGGGGTGGGTGAGTGGACCAGAGAAATGCAGCATGAGCAGTGCAGGGTGTTGGGGAGGGAGCTTTGAGATCCTTGGGCATGAATGCAAAAGGAGGCTGAGGCCAGCCAGTTTCCAGTCACCAGCAGCATCTGTGCTGTATAAGTGGGGCAGTGAGGGTGTGGATGAGGGGGCGGAGGATGCAGAGCCCACAGGATCAATGGGTGGTAGATATGGTTGAACCTAGGGGTTCTGGGTTAGGGTCCCAAGAGGGAGTGGCGGAGCAGGATGAGTGGCGGTGGAGAGCGGATGCTCACAGAGGCTTTGTCTGTAGTGAAAGGTTTGGCGGATGGCAGCGGAAGCGGGTATTGAGGCAGGATGGGGAGGAGGTCTTTAGAGGGACCAGAGGATCCAAAGCGCGTGCTAGAGACCCCAGCCTTCTTCAAAGACACTGCCTGTCTCTAGAGGGGCTGAACATAGCCGGAAAGGCAGCACCTGGCCTCATAAAGGCCACGTCCAGTGGTCCAGCCTCCTGGAGGAGATGGCTGGCATGGTGGTGGTGGGGGGTAACCAGCTCTTCCCAATTTGCCATAAGTTTCCCTTTTAGCACCCAAAGCCTTCCATCGTGGGAAGCCTCTCCAGCCAGAGCTGACCTGGACTCTAGGAAGCCGTAATCCTAAGGGATGTGTCCCGTGCCTCTTACAGGGCCAGCCCATGGGTTTGGGGTTGAGATAACCCGGTGTGTGGGCGGAGGTGGGGGGACCACCCGCCCTCGCCTGACCCAGAATCCCTCCTCAGGTGTGATGGTCGGCTCCCACGCGGACATGGCGCCGGCCTCTACCGCAGAGGGGGCCGGGGAAAAGCCGGGCCCCGCAGCTCCTGCCCCCACGGCCCAGTATGAGTGTGGGGAGTGCGGCAAGTCCTTCCGCTGGTCGTCCCGGCTCCTGCACCACCAGCGCACGCACACGGGCGAGCGTCCCTACAAGTGCCCTGACTGCCCCAAGGCCTTCAAGGGCTCCTCGGCCCTGCTTTACCACCAGCGGGGCCACACGGGCGAGCGGCCCTACCAGTGCCCCGACTGCCCCAAGGCCTTCAAGCGCTCGTCGCTGTTGCAGATCCACCGCAGTGTGCACACTGGCCTGCGGGCCTTCACCTGCGGCCAGTGCGGCCTGGCCTTCAAGTGGTCGTCCCACTACCAGTACCACCTGCGCCAGCACACGGGCGAGCGGCCCTACCCCTGCCCAGACTGCCCCAAGGCCTTCAAGAACTCGTCCAGCCTGCGGCGCCACCGGCATGTGCACACGGGTGAGCGGCCCTACACCTGCGGCGTGTGCGGCAAGAGCTTCACGCAGAGCACCAACCTGCGGCAGCACCAGCGCGTGCACACGGGCGAGCGGCCCTTCCGCTGCCCGCTCTGCCCCAAGACCTTCACACACTCGTCCAACCTGCTGCTGCACCAGCGCACCCACGGCAGCGCCGCCGCCCCCGCCGCGGGCGCCGCCCCCGCCCCTCCGCCGCGGGAGCCCGGCGGCAAGGTCTTGGTCTCAGAGGCCTACCTACAGCGGCCCCTCCAACCCCCCAGCCCGCCGGCGCCCCCGCCGCCCGCGCCCCCGCCCGTGGTGCCCGAGCTCTTTCTGGCCGCGGCCGAGACCACGGTGGAGCTGGTGTACCGCTGCGACGGCTGCGAGCTAGGCTTCGGTAGCGAGGAGTTGCTCTTGGAGCACCAGCCCTGTCCCGGGCCGGAGGCGCCGCCCCCGCCCGCGGACGCGCCCTCGGAGCCGCGGAAGGCCGACCCTCCCCCGCCGCCCTCACTGTCCCCGCCGTCCCCCCTGCCGCAGCCCCCTCCCGCCGCCTCTGCCCCTGGCTTCGCCTGCCTCCCCTGCGGGAAGTCCTTCCGGACGGTGGCCGGCCTCTCCCGCCACCAGCACAGCCACGGGGCGGCCGGGGGGCAGGCGTTCCGCTGCGGCAGCTGTGACGGCGCCTTCCCGCAGCTGGCCAGCCTCCTGGCGCACCAGCAGTGCCACGTGGAGGAGGCAGCGGCCGGGCGCCCGCCCCCCCAGGCCGAGGCTGCCGAAGTCACCTGTCCCCAGGAGCCGCTCGCCCCCGTCCCCGCCCCGCCCGCTCCCGCGCCCGCCCCGGCTTCCGCGGAGCGACCCTACAAATGCGGCGAGTGCGGCAAGGCCTTCAAGGGCTCATCGGGGCTGCGCTACCACCTGCGGGACCACACGGGCGAACGGCCCTACCAGTGCGGCGAGTGTGGCAAGGCCTTCAAGCGCTCGTCGCTGCTGGCCATCCACCAGCGCGTGCACACCGGCCTACGGGCCTTCACCTGCGGCCAGTGCGGCCTTACCTTCAAGTGGTCGTCGCACTACCAGTACCACCTGCGGCTGCACTCGGGCGAGCGGCCCTACGCTTGCGGGGAGTGCGGCAAAGCCTTCCGCAACACGTCGTGCTTGCGGCGCCACCGGCACGTGCACACGGGCGAGCGGCCCCACTCCTGCGGCGTGTGCGGCAAGAGTTTCGCCCAGACCTCCAACCTGCGGCAGCACCAGCGCGTGCACACGGGCGAGCGGCCCTTCCGCTGCCCGCTCTGCCCCAAGACCTTCACACACTCGTCCAACCTGCTGCTGCACCAGCGCACACACTCGGCCGAGCGCCCCTTTGCCTGCCCCATCTGCGGCCGCAGCTTTGTCATGGCCGCCTACCTGCAGCGGCACCTGAGGACGCATGCCCCGGCCAATGCCGCTTCTGGCCCCGCAGCCCCCGGCGCCGGCCCCCAGCCCCCTGCCCCACTGGCTGCCGCCCCAGCCCCGTCCGCCACCCAAGATGTCCACGTTCTACCCCACCTCCAGGCCACGCTCTCCCTAGAGGTGGCAGGAGTCACGGCCCAGGCCCCGCCCCCTGGCCCAGCAGCCCCCAACTCCCAGACGTTTCTCCTGGTGCAGACTGCTCAGGGCCTCCAGCTGATCCCCAGCAGCGTCCAGCCCCCCACACCCCCGCCTCCCCCCGCCCCCCCCAAGCTCATCTTGCTGCCCTCCTCCAGTACTGGTGGTGGGGGCAGCGGTGCAAGGCAGGGCCCACGGGCAGTGGGGAAAGCTGGGCAGGGGGCTGGAGTAGTCTGGCTGCCAGGCCCTGGGGGGCTAGGGGTGCAGGGAGGGAGCAACACCGGGGCCAGTGCGGGAGCACAGAGCCTCATAGTTCTGCAGAATGTGGGGGCTGGGGAGGCAGGGCCACAGGAAGTGAGCGGGGTCCAGCTCCAACCCCTTCGGCCAGCCCCGGAACTGACCACGGTCCAGCTCCAGCCGGCCCCGGAGGTGACCACGGTCCAGCTCCAGCCGGCCCCAGAGGTGACCACGGTACAGCTCCAGCCGGCCCAGGAGGTGACCACGGTACAGCTCCAGCCTGTAACGGGTCAGCTGTCCAATTCCAGTGGGGGAGCCGTCACCACTGAGGCGCCTAATCTGCTGGTGGTTCAGAGTGGGGCAGCGGAGGAGTTGCTGGCGGACCCCGGCCCGGGGGAGCCCGGTGACGGTGAGGCCAGCACTGGTGTGGTCCAGGATGTGCTCTTTGAGACGCTGCAGACGGAGGAGGGGCTGCAGAGTGTCCTGGTGCTGAGCGGGGCTGATGGGGAGCAGACCCAGCTGTGTGTGCAGGAGGTAGAGACCTTACCCTCGGGGGTGGCTGAGCCGCCAACCCCTGGCCCAACGGGACAGAAACTGCTCATTATCCGCAGTGCCCCGGCCACCGAGCTGCTGGAGAATGGCAGCGTTGGGGGAGGCGCCGCTGCGCTGCAGCTGCTGGCCCCACCACCACCTGGCCCAGGCTCTGCTCCCGCGGGCGTCCCTGCGGCTCCTGCCTCCCAGATGGTACAAGTGGTCCCTGCAGGAGCTGCACCTGGGGGCATGACCCCACAGGGCCTACCCTCCATCCAGTTTGTCCAGACTCTGCCCGCAGTCCAGCTGGTGCACACGTTTTGAGTAGAACCACTGGTACCCCTTCCCGCCCCACACAGAGACCCCGACTCACTGTCAGCCTGGGCTGGGCTGAGCTGGGGGGAGGGGAACTGCAGGCTGGGCTTGCTAATAAAGACCAGAATCTCCGCTCCTGTGTTTTGTTTTATTTGTGGTTTGGGAGATCACTGTCATGGCCATAGCCACCACTTGGGAACTTGGAGTCTCATGTCTTGCTTCCTGGTTCGCAGGTGACTTGCTTTGCGTCTTGGGGCCAGCCACTTCTCCTATGTGGGCTCTGTTTATCCTTTTTAAAAAAGGGATGCAACGGTCACTATATGGGGGAGGCGTTGGAATCTAGAATCCTGGTTCTGCCACTTGTTCTCTGTAAGTCACCCCACCCCTCCTCTCACGGAAAAATGGGTGGGTGGGAATGCCCATTCCGAATGTCACTGAAAGCCGGGGTGGGTTGGTTTGGGGTGGGGCAGTTTGGGAGCCAGTGGGCTCAAGATGCTGACGCGGCCCCTCCCGCGAAGGCCCTGGAACCTAAGAGAACCACTGAGTTCACCGCCCCGCCCCCACCCCGCCGGCTCCCCCGCTGCCATCCCCAGCCCCTTCCCCCGCCAGCGTCCTACAGGCCCCCTTTCTCTGTTGCTCCTCCCCTTGCAGGGTTGCCGCTCCCCGCCTTAGTCCATTCCCAGCCCACGCCCAAACTCTCCCCCCACCCGCTGCCAGAAGGTTGGCAACAGTTGCTAAGGCCGAGAGCAGGCCCCGCCCCGCCCCGAGTGCGCTAGTCTGACGTCACTTCCGCCAACGACCCCCTTCTCAACCCTGCTCCCCCCGCACCTTGTCAAAAGCGAAGCGACCCACAGAGGTGTTTGCAAGTCCTTGTTCCTGCGACAGACGCCGTTCGGGGGCGATTGGGGCAGAGAGGCTCTGGGCACTGGGGGGTGGGGAGCGGGGTCCATTTTCTGCCCGTGGGGGTAGTTTCGCTCACCCCCAGGGCCGCCCCGGAACCTGGAAGGGAGCCCGGTGTTGGCAGGTGTTGGCGTGCACCGGGCATTTAGGCGTAGATCGCTGGACACCACTGGGGGCCGGGGGGGCACCCCGAGAGACTTTAGAAAGGTCGATGGGTTGACGGGGAAGCTTGTCCTGTCTCGGACCTCTCTTGGGACCTGACCTGGGACATACTGTTGCGTGATCCGCAGCTCTGGGGCGCTTTGGGGACGAGAGGTGCCCTCCTGACGCTGACCGGCTTGTTTTCGCCAGGTGCACGCCTGCTCCCTTGGGGGCGCGGGAGCCTGGGGGCTGCCATGGCCCCCAGCCACCTGTCGGTGCGGGAGATGAGGGAAGATGAGAAACCCTTAGTGCTGGAGATGCTGAAGGTGAGAGCGGGCAGGGGCGCCAGTGAGCCTGGGAGGGTGGGGTGGAGGGTACCAGTGAGGGGGGGCCGGGACACCAGTGAACCTGGGAGGGGACGGGGACACCTGTGAGCCTGGGAGGGGGCGGGGACAGAATGAGGGGATACCAATGAGCCTGGTGGGGCGGGGACACCAGTGAGTCTGGGGGAGGGTACCAGGGAGGGGGGGCCTGGACACCAGTGAGCCTGGGAGGGGGCGGGGACAGAATGAGGGGGCACCAATGAACATGGGGGTGGGGCGGGGACACACCACGGAGCCTGGGAGGGGGCAGGGGCGGCATTTTGAGTGGCTTCAGTCACCTTCCTGAGCCAGCCGTGACCCCCCGGCGAGCAGTCTTTTGCTGCTCCTAAGAGGGCCCTTGGGCCCTCCTCTCTCTAGTTCTTTCTCCCTACCCTGGGGATCAAAAAGCGTTTTCACCGCTGTAGGGCTGACACACCAACTCCTTCCCTATCCTCCGCACTTCCAGTCTTCCCTACGCCCCAGCCTCCTGCTTTTCAAAGTAGAACCCTTGGGCCTCAGCCTGGCACTCGAGGACGCCCCAGGCGCCCTCCACTCCACTTTCTCTCTTGCTTGGGTCAGCTCCTCCATCCAGCCTCCCCTGATGCCTGCCTCTCCACTGAAGTGGGAGCCCTCACAGTTCCTAATTCACTAGCTCACTCATTCAGAGCCCAGTGTGCCAGCCGTGTGGTCCTGGACCCTCCGCCACAGGCCTCAGCTCACTGCCTTCCTTTCTCCTCCGGCAACCCTGGCCCCGGATCCCTCCTGGGCAGGGCCTGCCTCCTCCCTGCCCCGTTCCTGCTGCCCACGGGAGCCCCCCCACTCTGACTGCTCCTCCTGCCTGCAGGCTGGTGTGAAGGACACAGAGAACCGCGTGGCCCTCCACGCCCTGACGCGGCCACCGGCCCTGCTCCTCCTGGCGGCAGCCAGCAGCGGCCTGCGCTTCGTCCTGGCCTCTTTCGCCCTGGCCCTCCTCCTGCCCGTGTTCCTGGCCGTGGCGGCCATGAAGCTGGGCCTGCGGGCCCGGTGGGGCTCGCTGCCCCCGCCGGGCGGGCTTGGGGGGCCCTGGGTGGCAGTGCGGGGCTCAGGGGATGTGTGCGGGGTCCTGGCCCTGGCCCCAGGCTCCAGCGCTGGAGACGGGGCCCGGGTCACCCGCCTCTCTGTGTCTCGCTGGCACCGCCGCCGAGGCGTGGGCAGGCGGCTGCTGGCCTTTGCCGAATCCCGGGCTCGAGCCTGGGCGGGCGGCATGGGGGAGCCCCGGGCCCGGCTAGTGGTCCCGGTGGCCGTGGCAGCGTGGGGCGTGGCCGGGATGCTTGAGGGCTGTGGCTACCAGGCCGAGGGGAGCTGGGGTTGCATGGGCTACACGCTGGTGAGGGAGTTCAGCAAGGAACTATGACGCCAGACCCTGGAGGAAGGAAAACCAGCGCTTAGTGAGCACCTATGGTGTGCAGACACTTTCACACCGTCCTTCCATGAATCCCCAGCCCACCCAGGGCCCAGAAACTGAGGCCTGCAGAGGGCAAGAGACCCCACCACAGCCTGACGTCTGTCTGTAATGTTTGAACTTCTCAGAGAGGTCGGCCCATCTAACCCCTGCCTCAGATTCTGTCTGCACTGAGAAGTCTCCCCATCTGCCTGTCTGTCAAGCCTGTGCCGTTTGTGCTATGAGCCTGGGAGAGACGTGGGGCAGGAGGAGAGGAGGCCGAGCAAGCCTGCCCCCCACCCCGACCAGGGTTAGGACTTAAGCAGGGGCACCCCAAACCGGGACAAGGCCCCCAGGGAATGGGGTGGGGCTTGATGCCGTGCTTGGAGTGGGTGAGGCCGCAGAGGCAGAGAGAGGGTGAGGGGCGCCTCTGCAGGGGAGGGTCGTCTGCCTCGAGAGCCCCAGGGGAGGGAGGGGGGTGGTGGGCACAGTGCTGCCCTCCCGGCCAGCCCCTCCCCGGGAAGGTGAGAGCCCAGAGGGGCAGGCAGACCCATCTGGTTTTTAACACCCGTTTGTTAATAAAGCCTGAAACTGCTGTGCGCCTGTCTCCCTCTCTCTGATGCCTTTTCCAGTCTGTCTCCGAGGCCCCCCTTCCGTCTGGCTCCTCCTTCCCCAAGGTTGACATTAATTGTTGGCAGCGGGGGTGCTGGACTGGGGGCAGGGGAGGCAATGAGCTCAAGGCAGCCCTGCTCCCTGCCAGCCCTCTGACTCAGGCTCCCCATTACCGAAGTTTTTCCGCCTCACAGCTGCTTAGTGCAGAGAGAGAGAGAGAGAGAGAGAGAGAGAGAGTGTGTGTGTGTGTGTGTGTGTGCGCGCGCGTGCATGTGTGTAGTCGCCCTCCCCTACACAAGCCTTGACCCTTGGTTCCCCAACCCCTGACCCCAGTTTCCTCGGGAGACACGCAAGTTCAACCACGGCTCCCTCAGACAGGAGGTTGGGGACTTTTGCGTGCAGATCCACCGGGGGGGATGGAGAGGGGAGTTTCTCTGTCTCTTTTCCCAATCCAGGAAGTTCTTCCTGGTGTCTGGCTGCAAGCCCTCTTGCTGCACCGGGAGCCCCACTTGTGCCAGGTCCCCAACCCCGGCATCTGATGTGAATCCATCCTTGATGCTCTCTGGTCCCAGCTCGCTTCCCTGGCTGGACAAGAGAGGAGGCAGATGGGTGGGCACCCCACCCGTGCACCCCTGTCCCCCAGCGTACGCCCCTGCCTGGATGCTTCCCTGCAGCCTGCTGCCCCCAGGCCGGCTCCCCAGTGGGTGTTTGCAGTTGGACACCCTCCCTGCTGCCTGCCACCGCCCTCCTCCCCAGGCCTCAGCCGCCGGCCAGCCCCCTCCCCGCCCCCCCTCCCGTCCCCTGCTGCCTCCTCAGCAGCCTCTCCTCCTCCTGGCAGAGCGTCCAGCCCCTGCCTGCTCCTCCCCAGGTCCCGGGCGCCTCTGGCAGGAGCCTCCCTCTCTCCCCCGCCCCCCCACTTGGCCGCTAGCTCCTCCCCTCTCCTGCTCCTCTCCCCACTCACCCCATCCCTGCCCCGACTCTGCAGACATGAGGGTCTTGGCCTGCCTCCTCGGTGAGTGACCCTTCTCCTCGGGGACTTGGGCCTGGGCCCCACCCTCTGACCCCTGAGCTCACCCACTGGAGAGCCTCAGACTTCCGGGGCCTCATCCCTGTTGCTTGGGGGATACAGGACATCTGGCCCTCCCTTGCCTGATCCCCCAGGGACCCAGCCTCTGGCACCCCCGTCCTACCCTCTTAGGAGCCCCAGAGACCTATCTCCTACACCCCCACCCCCGCCCCACCAGCCCTGATCCTGTGGGGGGTCACCCATCATTTGACCTTTAGTCAGGCCCCTGGGGGAGTGCAAAGGGCCTGGGCGCCTGCCCTGAGGCATCTGGGGCCCCGCCCACCTCAAGGACCTGAACCTCGCCAGGCCCTCGACCCAGAGTCCTGCTTCCCAGCGGCGGGGTTTCTGGTTCAGAGGCATGAGGCCTCACTCTGTCCACCCCTCCAACCTCCCTTCCAGTGGCTCTGATGGGGATCCAGGCTGTTGGTAAGTGGCCCCAAACACTTCTTCCATCTGGCCTCACTCAGCTGCAGGCCCACCCCGTGCCCAGCCTCACCCTCCAATGGGACCCTGTTCGCCCCCATCCGCCTGTGACCTCGGGCACCACTTCCCCCAGGACCACCTGGGCGACAGCCTCCTGCTTCCTACGGGGCACCACTGCTCCCCTGGGTACCCAGGAGTTGGGCTCCCCGTTAGCGGCCAGGACACTGGCCTCCCGGTGATGCCCTGCAGGACAGCCCCCAGCCCGTACCCTCCCCCTGGCCCCAGGGTCTCCAGGACATCACAGCCTTTCCTCTGTCCTCCCCAGAGTGGCTGCGTCTGGCCGATGGCCCCCACGGGTGCGCGGGCCGCCTGGAGGTGTGGCACGGCGGGCGCTGGGGCACCGTGTGCGACGATGGCTGGGACCTGAGGGATGCTGCTGTGGCCTGCCGCGAGCTGGGCTGTGGGGGCGCGCTGGCTGCCCCTGGAGGCGCCTTCTTCGGGGAGGGCGCGGGGCCCGTGTGGCTGAGCGAGCTGGCCTGCCGGGGCGGTGAGCAGCAGCTGGGCCTCTGCCCCCACCGTGGCTGGAAGGCCCACATCTGCTCCCACGAGGAGGACGCAGGCGTCGTCTGTGCAGGTAAGGGGCCCTCGACCCCCTCCAAGGAACATTGCTTCAGAGACGACCCAGGGACACAAGTCCTCAGTCCAGTAACTCTGAGAATCCAGAAGTCCAGACACCCCACCTCTGACACCCCCTGCAAAGCCAGGACTTACCACTACCTTGGAGGGTTCCTGCCTCACTCAGGGCCTGCCCTCTTTATAGCATCTGGGGATCGCATGGCGGGGATATTGAGTAATATCTTCCAAACTGAGAGGGAACTTTGAGACCAATAAAGAAAGCAGTAAAGAACAACTATGAAGTTTACTGTGGGGAACTCATACAGGCAGGATGGATCTGGTGGGCAGTGATCCATTTATCTGCAGCTGTGCTGTGCACCACCGCAAAGGGTGCAGGAAGATTTAAAGGGGCCAACGCTAGAGACAGAATCTGAGTACCAAGGGAGAAGCATGTTTTCCTTCCCCCAGGGGGTCTTATGACCGTCATTCCTCATGGACCATTAATCCTCTATGTCAGCAAAAGGCATCCTTCCTGTTTTCCTATCAGACGAAGGCAAGGGTAAAAGTTGATAGGGAACCTCTCTGGCTTGGGCGTGTTCCTCGTGAGTGGGACAAAGCTCAGCCAGGCAAAGAGGGGAGGGGGCGGGGCCGCAGGCCTGAGATGGGGCTGACAAAACAGAGCCAGTGCGGTCCAGCCACACGCTGCTCTCCCGAAGGTCAGCGTGTGTCGGACTCCAGGGATTGGGACGACTCACCTTCAGTCCTGGATGGGGACCCCTGGCCGGGGCTGTCTGGGGAGCTGAGCCCCGGCTCTGAGGAGGCCCCGGTGATGCCTGGTGAGCCCCCCCCACATGTGCCCTGTCTCCAGCTTCGGCTGTGAGGGAGAAGGGACAGAGGCCCGTCTCCTCCACAATCCCGAGGGCCCCCGCCAAGGCCCCCTTCGGACCCCTGGGGACTCTCGGGACTGACCTGCGGCCCCAGGAAGTGCAGCTGCCAATCTCCCTCCCTGCTGTCTCCTCACCCAGCCCCCCGCCCAGCCGGGACCCCCCAGAGCGGCTCCCGGAAGAAGAGCCCCCGGCCGCCCAAGCCCGCCAAGTCCACTAGGGCCCCTTTGCTGACTGCCGGAGCCCCCCGCCAGGGTAAGTCCGCGCAGGCCTCCCCTCTGCAACAAATCTGGATGGGGTGAGGCGCTAGGCCCCGCTGGACCAAACTGGGACCCCCCCCTCCAGGTATGCGGGGGCACTGCATCCCCCGGGGATTCACAGTCAGGCCCAGGCTCCCCACCCGGTCAGGAGACCCGGGTGTCCACTCCCGGGACCCAGGCCCTTGGCCTGCTCAGATCCTGGCTCTCCCCTTAACAGCCGGTTGGCAGGCCCATCTCAGGCCACTGACCCCCCGCCCCCCCCCCCGCGGCTTGAATCCGCGTATCCCCAGCTGCCTCGCACGAGGCCCCTGACTGCCCCTCTCCCCGCCCGCCCGCCAGAGCGGCTGCGCCTGGTCTCCGGCCCCCACGGGTGCGCCGGCCGCCTGGAGGTGTGGCACGGCGGGCGCTGGGGCACGGTGTGCGATGACGGCTGGGACCTGCGGGACGCCGCCGTGGCCTGCCGCGAGCTGGGCTGCGGGGGTGCGCTGGCCGCCCCCGGCGGGGCCCGGTTCGGCCCGGGCGCAGGGCCCGTGTGGATGGACGACGTGGGGTGCGGAGGCGGGGAGCAGGCCCTGCGGGACTGTCCCCGAAGCCCCTGGGGCCGGAGCAACTGTGACCACAGCGAGGACGCAGGACTGGTCTGCACCGGTATGTGCCCGCCTCTCCAGACCCCTCCCCCAGGGCCACGCCCCCTCCTCCGCTCACCGAGGTCTCAACTTTAAGGAGCTCTTTAATCCCCTTCCCTCCCCCTCCTTCCCTCCCCTCCCTCCTTCCCTCCCCTCCCTCCCTCCCTCCCCCCTCCCTCCCTTCCTTACTCCCTTCCCCCTTTCCTTCTCTCTCTCCCTCCTTCCTTCTTTTCACACTCATTAAGCCCCATCCACACCGGGCACAGACCCAGTTCTCACTCTCCTGACTTTTAGGAGGCAGGGGTGGCCCACAGGTGTGGGGTAGGAAAGTTCAAGGGCTGCACCCACTAGAGGAGCCTGCCCGCCTACCCGCACAGGGGGCAGGAAATGTTTCAGTCGGTGGATGGGAAAGGGGAGAGGGAGCTACAGAGGAAGCTGGGAGCCAGCTCTGGGCCTCACCCCCACCTGCCTGGCCTCCTGGGTGGATGTCCTCGCCCCACCCTTCACGGATGCAGGACAGAAGCTCAGAGATGTAAAGCAGATGGCCCAGAACTTGACTGCCGTGTCTGTCCCACTACACAGATGGATCTGGGTATCTAGCGTGTAGGGTGTGGTGGGGATGGAGACCAAGGGGACACAGGTCGGGGCACAGATTGGTGGACCAGAGGCAGTGATGGTGGTGCCTCCGTGGGAAGCACATGGGGGCAGAAATGGGGCCTCTGAAGCCCAGTTCCCAGGAGGTGAGTTGAGTCTCCAGCGGGAGAAGAAGCTGTTGGGGAGAAGTGAACCCCACTGAGGGGCCCGGGGGCTTGGTATCTTACCAACATCTCTGCTCCTCAGGGCAGCCCCGTGAGGGAGCGTGTCACTCACAGCTGGGTGATGCAGGCAGGAGTATCTCCCCCTCTCTGGCCTGTCCTTTTCTCTAGACACCGACTGCAGGCTAGAGAGATGGACTCCACACTCCCCAGAGGTGACCCAACTCTCACCCCACGAAGACCCAACAGAAATGTACCCCCAAACCAACAAGAGGTTAACATCTAGACTAGTGGTTCTCAACCGCACTCCCCAGGTGATATGGAGACATTTCTGGTTGTCATGACTGTGTGGGGCACTGGGGGTGCTGCCGGCCTCTGGGGGGTGGAGCCCAGGGATGCTGCTGGACATCCTACTGTGCACAGGACGGCCCCTCACAGCAGAGAATGCCCTGACCCCCGTGTCAGGGGCACTAAGGCTGAGAAGCCCTGCTTTACAGGCTGGGGAAGGCAGCTGTGGAGTGGGGACCTGCCTGGGGAGGTGGGTGGAGGGCATCAGGGCCAGCGTCCCCAGGGCTCATCCCTGGGGAGGCAGGGACATGGGGGGCAGTGGATAGACCAGAGTTGAACTCTTGGAGAGCGACTTCCCAGCTCAGAGTCTTTCCCTCACTTGCAAACTGAAGATGGAATGGCTGCTTTCCAGCCCCATCTTGGGCGTGAAGCGGGACACTACACATAGCCTGTACCTGCTCACCCATCCTAGTCACTCGAGCAGGTGGCCTGTACCTGCTCACCCATCCTAGTCACCTGAGCATGAGGCTTATATCCACTCATCCATCCTAGTCACCTGAGCACGTGGCCTGTACCTGCACATCCATCCTAGTCACCTGCGTGCATAGCTCAGTACCTGCTCGTCCATCACAGTTTCCTGCGTGCGTGGCCTAAAGCTGCTTATCCGTCACAGTTTCCCGTCTCTCTGTTCTCCCTCTCCCCACGTCCAGGCCCGGCCCCCAGGCTGCGTCTGGCAGACGGCCCCCACGGGTGCGCGGGCCGCCTGGAGGTGTGGCACAGCGGGCGCTGGGGGTCCGTGTGTGACGATGCTTGGGACCTACGGGACGCCGCTGTGGCCTGCCACGAGCTGGGCTGCGGGGCCGCGCTGGCTGCCCCTGGAGGCGCCTTCTTCGGGGAGGGGGCTGGACCCATCCTCCTGGACGATCTTCGCTGTCGGGGAAACGAGACGGCCTTGCGCTTCTGCCCTGCGCGGCCCTGGGGCCAGCATGACTGTCATCACCGAGAGGACGCTGGGGCCGTGTGTGACGGTGAGGGGGCCCTGGGGGAGAGGCCAGAGCGGGGGCCTCGAGTGGAGGGGTGAGAGCTGGGGCGTCTTGTGTGTTTTCCGGAGGTGTACCCCAGGGCCCCGCACTCCCTCCGTCCAGCAGCCCACCTGCCGCATGTCTTGCTCATCGTGAAACCTCAGTCTCCATCGGGGGTCCTGGGGTGGCAGGTGTGGGGAACTGCCTGTAGCACAGCAGTGGGTGGTGGTCACCTCTTCCCTCTCACGCCCCAGGTATGCCTCTGGGATATGTCCCTCCCACGGCCCCCGCGGTGGGCAGCAACAGCTCCAGGCCCAGGGAGACTGCATCCAGGCCCCCGCCCCCCACGGTGAGCCAGGCTGCGCGGATAGCAGGCATTTCACCTCCGCCCGCTTCCCCTGCGGCCCCTCAGGAGCCTGGGCCGGAAGCTGGTGAGTCCCTCCTGCTCCCCTCACCCCAAATGTGGGGCTTGGCTGCTGCTGCTTTTTTTTAAGATTCTTTTCCCATGTAGGCCATCGCAGAGTACTGAGCAGAGCTCCCTGTGCTATACAGTAGGCCTTATTACCTCTTTTATATATAGTAGCGTGTATATGTCCATCCCAAGCTCCCGATTTATTCCTCCTTCCCCTTATCCCCTGGTAGCCATGTTTGTTTTCTATATCCGTGACTCTACTCCTGTTTTGTAAATAAGTTCATTTATACCCCCTTTTTTAGATTCCACCTATAAGTGATATCATCTGATGTTTGTCTTTCTGTGTCTGACTTATTTCACTCAGTATGACAATCTCTAGGTCCATCCGTGTTGCTGCAAACAGCATTATTTTGTTCTTTTTTGTCGCCGAGTAGGGGTTTAGCTTCTGTTTCCTGCCCCTCCGCCACTCCCCACAGCCCCCAGGTGCCTCCTTCACTGCCTCAGAGGTCTCGGGGAGAGGGAAGGGTGGAGGGGAGGAGACGGAGCCCACACTCAGAAAGCCCCTGCTTAGTCTAATGCTCTGCTCCAGCTGTCTTGAAACTCACAGGGCCGCCTCCTTCTCGCAAGTATCGAAAGAACTAGTCAGTGATGTTGTTTTAAAATACAGGCTTTAGGGGACTTCCCTGGTGGCGCAGTGGTTGAGAGTCCGCCTGCCGATGCAGGGGATGCGGGTTCGTGCCCCGGTTCGGGAAGATCCCACATGCCGCGGAGCGGCTGGTCCCGTGAGCCATGGCCGCTGAGCCTGCACGTCTGGAGCCTGTGCTCCGCAACGGGAGAGGCCACAACAGTGAGAGGCCCGCATACCGCAAAAAAAAAAAAAAAAATACAGGCTTTAGGGACTTCCCTGGTGGTCCAGTGGTTAAGACTCTGCGCTTCCACTTCAGGGGGCACAGGTTGATCCCTGGTTGGGGAACTATGGTCTCACATGCTGTGTGGTGCGGCCAACAGGTGAGACCACTGTCACTGCAGAGATAGTTGGTTTCTCACAATTCCCAAGAGGAGGGGGCACAGCCCGCACACGACGCAGGGCCACACGGGAAGCACCAGGGTCCAGCAGGAGGCAGAGGGAGCGAGGGGCGACGGTGGGCAAAGCCTGGAGTGTGGCTTCATGGGGAGGAATGGACAAGGCAGGGTGAGATGACTCCGGATGGGCTGGTTTGCATCATCTCGGCGGGTTCTGGAGCGTAGCTGCTGCTCCTGGTTGTCGGGTACATGCCCTGGGGTGATGGGGCAGGTGGATGATGGCTGGAGTGTGTGAGCCTGACACGAGGTGGTGGGTGAGGGCTCTGGGTGGGTTGGTTTCATATGAAGGGCACACTCCAGTGGTTTCCTGTCTCTGGGAATCAGCAATCCCTCCAGTGTCAGCAAGGCCCCGAGATGTCAAAGCATCAGGTACTGCAAATAAAAAGCCATGATTAATACAGCCATCTCCTCAAGGTTGCCGAAGGCTGAAGATGTGGGAACTTGATCGCTATTAGCTGAGGCCTGCTTCCCCTTTTTCTGAATAATAATAATAATAATGATAACAGCTGCCATAGACTCAGCTGTCACTGGCTCACATGACCAGCGCTGTTCCAAGCCCCTTCGTCAGGTAAAACCACCAGCCGCTGGCAGGGTAGGTACCGTCTGGTTTCCACGTTACAGACGAGGCCACACAGCTAAAAAGTCTGAAAGCCAGGACTCCAATGAAGGCAACTTGTTCCACAGCCCACTTTCTTTATTTTTTAAAAATCATGGTAAAATATACACAACGTAAAATTGACCATTTTAACAACTTTTTGTTTTTCTGGCTGTGCCACACGGCATGCAGATCTTACTTCCCCGACCGGGGATCCAATCTGCGCCCCCTGCAGTGGAAGTGCAGAGTCCTAACTATTGGACTGCCAGGGAAGTCCCATGTTAACCATTTTAAAGCATATAGTTTAGTCGTGAAAAATACACTCATCATGTTGTGCAGCCATCGCCACCACCATCTCCAGAGCTTCTTCATCGTTCCGAACAGATAGCCCAGGCCCATTGAACGCTCACTGCCCTCCCCTCCATCTCCCCAGCCCCTGGCACACACCATTGGATTTTCTGTCTCTGTGAATTTGCCAGCCAGGCACTGTGTGTAAATGGAATCGTATAGTATTGGACCTTTTGTGTCTGGCTTATTTCACAGAGCATAATGTTCTCCAAGTTCATCCATATTGTGGAGTGTGTCAGAATTTCTTTCTTTGTAACAGCTGAATCGTATTCCATCATATGGATGGACAACATTTTGCTTATCCATTCCATTCGTCCATTGATGGACGCTCGGGTTGTTTCCACATTATTGCTCTTGTGAATAATGCTGCTGTGAATGTTTGCATATGGGTATCTGACTGAATGCCCATTTTCACCTTATCTTGGGCATATATATCCCTAGGAGTGGAATTTCTGGATCATATGGCAATTCTGAGTTGAGCTTTCCAAGGAACCACCCTTTATCCCTGACTTTTTTCTTTTCTTTTTTTTGGCGTGCCGCGAGGCTGGTGGGATCTTAGTTCCCCAACCAGGTATTGAACCCGGGCCTCGGCAGTGAAAGCACGGAGTCCTAACCACCAGACCGCCAGGGAGTTCCCAACCCTGACTATTCCTGTGCCTGATGCAGACGATGGCACAGCACAGGCCTGGATAAACACTTGCTGCTGGGAAGGAAGGGTGGATGAATGGAAGGAAGATGGAGCGAAGGTGGAGGAAGGTCTGACTCGAATTCTTTGGGTCTCTCCCACCCCAGGGTCCCCCCAGCTGCGCCTGGTGGCCGGGCCCAGCAGGTGCTCAGGCCGGCTGGAGGTGTGGCACGGTGGGCGCTGGGGGACCGTGTGTGACGACAGCTGGGACCTGCGGGACTCGGCTGTGGTCTGCCGGGAGCTGGGCTGCGGTGGACCTCGGCAGCCAGACCCTGCTGCTGGCCGCTTCGGCTGGGGCGCCGGCCCCATCTGGCTGGACGACGTGAGGTGTGTGGGGACCGAGGCTTCCCTCGCTGACTGCCCTGCCGCTCCCTGGGGGAAGCACAACTGTGCTCACAACGAGGACGTTGGAGTTACCTGCACTGGTAAGGAGGCCCTGGCCATTCGCTGGCTCCGGGAGGGCTTCCTGGAGGAGGGAACGGGAACTAACATTGGCACTAACATCAACTGAGCGCTCACCTCCTAAGCCCCCGCCCGTGACCGTATTCACACCTCACGATGCGTCCAAATTGGTGGATGTTATGCCCATTTTACTGATGAAGACGCTGAGGCACAGAGAGGTTACACAGCAGCTAAGCGGCACAGCTGGGATTCTTCCTCCTCTTCTTCCCGCCAAGAATCAAGGAAGTCTCCCACCTAGAGGGAAGCTGAAAAGGAAGAGGAAAGGAAGCAGGCATGGGGCACCGGGAGATGGCAAGAAGCCCGTGTGACGGGAGGACCACTTGAAGTAGACTCAGGCTTGGCCCGTGTTCATTCATTTGCCGTTATTTATCCAGCGCCAGACACTGAGCTAGGTATTGGGTCCTCAGAATGCAACGAATGCAACCCTGGCCTTTGAGAGGCTCACAGTTCACTGTGAGAAAGAGACGCCCCGACAAATCGCTGCAAACCCGTGTGACACATTATCATTTGGGAGGTCCCCAAGACCACCCTCGGGTTCCATAGTTTTCTAGAAGGATTCACAACAATCAGAAAAGCTGTCTCGCAGTCCAGTGGTTAAGACTTCGCCTCCCAATGCATAGGGTGCAGGTTCAATCCCTGGTTGTGGAGCTAAGATCCCACATGCCTCGCAGGCAAAAAAACAAAACATAAAACAGAAGCAATGTTGTAACAAATTCAGTAAAGACTTTTGGGCTTCCCTGGTGGCGCAGTGGTTGAGAGTCCGCCTGCCGATGCAGGGGACACGGGTTCGCGCCCCGGTCCGGGAAGATCCCACATGCCGCGGAGCGGCTGGGCCCGTGAGCCATGGCCGCTGAGCCTGCGCGTCCGGAGCCTGTGCTCTCTGCAACGGGAGAGGCCACAACAGTGAGAGGCCCGCGTACCACAAAAAGACTTTTAAAATGGTCCATATCAGGACTTCCCTGGTGGCACAGTGGTTAGGAATCTGCCTGCCAATGCAGGGGACACGGGTTCAATCCCTGGTCCGGGAAGATCCCACATGCTGTGGAGCAGCTAAGCCCGCGCTCCACAACTGCTGAGCCCGCGAGCCACAACTACTGAAGCCCGCACGCCTACAGCCCGTGCTGCGCCAGAAGAGAAGCCACCGCAATGAGAAGCCTGCGCACCGCAACGAAGAGTAGCCCCCGCTCACTGCAACTAGAGAAAGCCCGAGCGCAGCAACGAAGACCCAACGCAGCCAAAAATTTAAAAAGTCAGTTGAGGGAAGAGGCATGTGGGGCTGGGTCCAGGAGAGACCCTTGTGGAGCTTCCTCACTTAATTCTCCCAGCGACGACGCATGACAACTCACGTGAAGTATTGCCAACCAGGGACGATCTCCCAGCCTTGGCGTCAGAGTGTTCATAGGAGCGCAGTCATGAGATGTGGCTGGTGGCCCACTGGTGGCCCGTTAAGTCACAGTGTTAGCAGAGATGATTTAGGTGGCCCTGGCCCCACAGGGAAACAACACACTCTTACCAGGCAGGACGGTGAAAGGGCTTGGAGCTTCCCCCTTCCCCCCGGCAGCCAGGAGCAAAGGGCCAAACCTTTCTTTGGACAAGATTAACCCTTGTCCTGCATCAGTAACCCTTGGCATCGCCCATGGTGTCTGCCGCCTTCCCTGTGCTGATCAGAAAGATGTAAGGTGAGCCGTGGCAGCTGGGAGGATGGAGTCAACCATTCTGCCTGAAGCTGAGGCACTTTCCCCTTTCCCTCCCCTCCTGAGGGCCACGGGAGCCACAGAAGGGTTTTGAGCTGGGCAGTGGCCTGGTACCACCCTGGTGGGGCGGTGAGAGCTTCCCCACACACACGGGGTGTGGGGGAAGACCAGTCAGAGGGTACAGGAAGCCAGGCAGTGGCTGGGCAGATGGAGAGGATGGGTCAGTGCGACGGGGTGAAGGGGGGCAGTCACATCATGATTGTAAGTGCCCAGAGGTGGGATGGTGCCGGCTGTGGCTGGCCACCGTATGCCCAGGTCTGGCACAGGGCCTGGCTCGTAGGAGGTGCTTTGTAAACGTCTATGATGTGAATGAATGCATGGGAACTTGGTGGTTGTCTGTAGGGGGAGATGAGAGAGAAGGACAATCACGGTGTCTGCTGTCTCCCCTGTCCTCCCCTCCTGTCTGCCAGGGACCCCCGGGCTGGACTCCATCTCAGACCCCTTCAGTTGGAGCTGGATCCCTGGCCTGGGTAGAGATCCAGATGCCTGGCTCCCGGGGGAGCTGGCCACCAAGCCCTCTGCGAGGCGGACCCCCAGCGTTCCTGAGAAAACCACCACCAAGGCCCCAGGGAAGATACCCAAAAGCACAAAGAAGTGGGTGACCAAAAACGCAAAGAGACCGACCACTCAGCCCGCCGTGATACCAACCACTAAGCACTCCAGGGCCACGGGCACCCACAGTCCCCCAGAACTGACCTCACTGACCACCACCACTCCGACCACTGATGCCTCCCGAAGACCGACCTCCGAGTTTACCACCAGGCTGACCACGGAGGACCCTCACAGGCTGACCTCACACACCACCGAAAGGCGGACTCCCCGGGTCCCCCGGGAACGGACCTCTAAGACCCTGGCAACACCAACCACCCAGGGCCCCCGAGAACTGACCTCTGAGGCCACCATGGAGCCATTGGCCGAGATCCCAGGAGTAGGTACTCCAGAGTCCTCCAAAGACCCAGCCCCCTCCCCCACTGGGGCATCAGGTGAGAGGAAGGAACGTGGAGGGTGAGGCTGACCCCTCCTAACCCCTGCTGACCCCTCCTGATCTGGGCTGTCTACCAGCAGGCCTGTTCCGGGTTCGTCTGGCTGATGGGCCCAACCGGTGTGCCGGGCGGCTGGAGGTGTGGCACGCTGGACGCTGGGGGACAGTGTGTGATGACAGCTGGGACCTGCGGGATGGCATGGTGGCCTGCTGGGAGCTGGGCTGCGGAAGGGTTAGGCCCCGCGTGGGCAAAACCCACTACGGCCCTGGCACCGGGCCCATCTGGCTGGATGATGTGGGCTGCAAGGGAAGTGAGGCCTCGCTGAGCGACTGCCCCGCTAGGGCGTGGGGACAGCACAACTGTGACCACGAGGAGGACGTGGGGCTCACCTGCACTGGTACGGCGGGGGACGGGGGCTCAGGGGCCAAGGAGTCAGGGTGGCATGGGGGTGGGGACCCAGAGTCACTCCAGGAGATTCGGGAAGGGGACTTCAGAGCAACAGCAAGGACCTCTGAGCCGGGTCGGGGCTGTCCCCTTCCCCAATTTCTCCCAAGGCTATGCAGATGAGGAAGACTATCCCCCCTGGACCTGGGACCCCACGTCAGGAGAGGACCTGGCCAAGGGGACCACCGCTGCAGCGGTGCCTGCACACGCTCTCCCCTGGGGCACGGCTGGGAGCACAGGGGCCCCCTCCCCAACGACGAGGTGCCTTCCAAGCACAGGTGAGGGGCATGGCCGGGGTGGGGAGGGGCCCTCCATAAACCTCTGTGCACCTCCCTGCCGGGCTTCCAGAAAGATCCTCCTAAATGAGCTGGCCTGGGTCTCAGAGACCCCAGACAGGTTCTCCTCAGCTCCAGAGACTCTAAGAACATTCCCTTCCTGGACTCAGCAGTAGCGCTGTCCTCCAGAGCCTAAAGGAGACCCATCCCCACCCCCTGCGGTGTGATCTGCAGAGAATCCGACCAGGCTCAGCCAAGCCCCGGCCCGCAGTCCTCCTGTAAACCAACCCGGGCCTTGGGAGCCCGTGTCCCTCGATCCGGAGCCTCGACGGAAATCCCCCCAGACCTCACAGCCCAGGCCCGCCCTGTCACCACGTTGTCTCCCCACCCCAGCCCCTCAAACCTGTTCTCCCAGCTCACGCTCTGGTCAGGGTCGGGCTATGGCTCAGAGGCGGGGTGGGGACATCCAGGTCGAGGGCTCTGTCCTCAGCCGGACCCCCTTCCTCTGGCCAGTGGGAGCAGCCTCCAGCCCCTCAGCTCTGTCCCTCTCTGCCCCTCCGCCTCTGTCTCGCTGTCACCTGCTTGCCTCCTTCCATCTCTGCTGCCAGGGGCCTTGACCTTGACCCCCGGGGCCTTGACCCCCCTCAGATGTTGCCCATTTCTCTACCTTCCTCTGTGTGTGTGTGTGTGTGTGTGTGTGTGTGTGTGTGTGAGGTCTCTGTCCTATCCGTGCGCAGGGTCTCTCTTGATCACCCCCTGCTCCTGTTTCTCACATTCTCTCTCTATCTCTCTCTCTTTTTGGCCTCGCCTGTGTGGCACAGGCAATCTTAGTTCCCTGACTAGGGATGAACCCGCGCCCCCTGCAGTGGAAGCGCAGAGTCTTAACACCAGACCCACCAGGGAAGTCCCAAAGGAATTTATTTTACTTTTTAATTTTATTTTAAAATTTTTATGTATTTATTTTTCCCTTTCAATTTCTCACCCTCCTCATCTCAAACACTTTTTTTTCACCGCCCATTTCTTTCTCATCACCTTTCTAATTTTTTTTCTTTCCTTATCAAGTTCATACTCGCATCATTTCTATTTCTCTCTTTATTTCCCCACAATCAACTTCTCTTTATCTTTTCCCCTCTGCGTCTGGCTCTTTTTTCTTTCATTTTCCATTTCTCACTCCCCCACCCCCAACCCGTATCTATTTCTCACTGTACTTCATGGCCAGTTTCTCTTCATCTCTTCTCCTGTGTCCTCCTCTTTTTATTTACATTTTCAGTTTCTCACGCTCATCGTCTCTGTTTCTCACTATTTTTCACGGTCGGTTTATCTTTTCAGCTCCGAGTCTCTTTTTTCTTTCTCTTTCTCTGTCCCTCCTCGTCTCTATGCCTCGTCAGCCTCTCTCACCATCTTTCTCATTTTTTCTCCAAGTCCACACCCCGTCACCGCTGTTTCTCCCTGTTTTTCACGGCCAGTTTCTCTTTCTTTCCCTTGAGTCTTCCTTTTTCTTTCACTCTCACCATCGCGCCCTCCGCTCCGTTTCCCACTCAACCTCCCCCCCACCCAGGGTCGGTTCTTCCCTCAGCTTTTTCTCCGTCTCCTCATCCTTCTCGCTGACTCTCCATCCTACCATTTCCCGCGTGGCGGCTTCTTCCCCCGGCTCTGCCGACCCCGTCCCCCCGCGACGACCGCTCTCTCCCCCCAGGTGTCGCCGCTTCTGCTCCATGTCCGCACCTTAGTTAATAGTTCCCAAGCATGCCTTTACACCTTAGCTATACAGGTGGGACTCCCTAATGCTATATTGTTTCCACATGTGTTACCTTTTCCCGCACCTTTTCCCGCGTTTTTCACATGCTCAACACGCATGCGCACTCCGAGGGCCTCTGCGAGAGGGGCGGGGCCTCGGATGGAGGGGCGGGCAGGGCAGACTTCAATCGCCCCGCGCCGTGTGACGTCACAGGCGCGGTGCGCCTCCTGATTGGCCGGCTGGCCCACGCCGCGGCAATAAAAGCGGGTGAAGAGGTTGGTGACCTCACAGAGTGGCGTCTGCCTCGGTCTGGTCTCATTGCGGCGGGGTGGGTAGGGGGGCGCGGAGCAGGCATTGGAGGTACGGAGATTTGGGGTGGGGGGCACCCGAGCTGTGAGTTAGGGCTCAGTTTCCAGAGATGATGCTCCTCACCTGGCAGTGTGGCCAGGATTTCTGAGCTTTGTTCTCTGCAGCCCGGCGCCACCTCCCTTATCCCGTAGCGACCTCTCGTGGCGGAGAGGTCCGATGCTGGGCGCGAGGCACAAATAAACACAGAACTAGGAATTGCACGATGGAAATCTCAGGGGTAACGTGTACAACCTTAGTAATGGGAAGACTTGGAGGGAGGTGCGGGGTGGCGTGGGGAGAGGGGAAACGACAGACAGGAATTCCTATCCTCGTTAGCAAGGTGGCCTTGAAAAAAATGACTGCTTCTTTGAACCTCAGTTTCTTCCTCCGGAAAAAAACGAAAACCGGAGCTCCAAGGACCCTGGAAAGAGTCAAGGAGAGCTCACTGTGCCAGGCACGCATGATTCCAGCTGGGTGACATAGGTCCTGGTGTTGCCCCTGTGTTTCAGGTGCGGGAAAAATGAGGCTCAGAGAAATTAAACTTTAACTTAGGAGCCATTATTGAGATCCATTTTAAACGGTTTCGCGCACAGTTTGCTTGTTGGATTGGAAAAGATTCTGGAATAACTGAAGTCATTGCAAGAGTGAATTCTGTAGTACAGCTCGCTGGGTTCCAGCTGTGGCTGCGCTGGGATTAGAACAACGAGCTGGATGACCTCAGGTCCCAATCCAATGAGCAAAATGTGTGTGAAATCATTTAAAACCGCAAAACATTGGTTGTTAAAAGTTATTTACCGTAAATGAGCAACAGCTGCAGGATCCCAGGGACGGAGTGATTATTTCTAGTAGAGCAATTGGGAAAGACCTCGCAGAAGAGATGGTGTCATTTTCACCAGCAGACACCAGGAGGAAGGGGATTCTCAGAGGAGCAGAGGCTGGAGTTGAGAAAATTGCATTGCCTGTTTAGGGCACGTCGTCTCTGCTAGACTTTTAGCTGTCTTGTGTTTGGCTATGTCAGTTTCTGTTGTTGCCATAACGCGGCCACACATTAGGGGCTTAGACAACACACGTTTATTATTTTGCAGGTCTGGAGATCAGAAGTCCCACATGGGTATCACTGGCTAGAATCGAAGTCAGCAGGGCAGGGCTGTGTTCCTTCTGAGGCTTGAGGGGAGGATTGTTCCCATGCCTTTTCTAGCTTCTAGAGGCCCCTCCATTCCTTAGCGCATGGCCCCTACCTCCATTTTCAAAGCCAGCAATGCTGCATCTATTTCTCTGGTCCTTCTTTTGTCTTTACATCTTTGTCACTACAGCCGGGTTAGATTCTCTCATTTTAAGGATTTGTGTGATTAGATTGGGTCCACTTGGATTAACATAGGATAATCTCTTCATTTCAAGTTCTGGACCCATAATCATATCTGCAAAGTCCCTTTTGCCAGGAAAGGTAACATATTCACAGGTTCTGGGGATTAGGGCTTGGACATCTTTGGGGAGCGTTATTCTGTCTACCACAGGATCTATGTTGTAGAGACTTAGTAGAGACTTTTTACATACTTGTTGAATGAATGAATGAATGAATGAACCAGTGAGAGACCGCTGTGTAAGTCTAGAGAGAGTGTACAGGAGATGAAGCTGGAAGCTTATGAAGGTTGAATTCTCACTTTCCATTTCACTGAAGCAAAATTTCTTGAGGCTTCCTGGATGATGGAATTTGGAGACGCAGACATTAATTCATGTCTGAAATGTTTGCTGTGTGGCAGGCATGAGTACTAACCCCTGGGAACATAGCAGTGATGAGCACAGCAAGGGAGGGGGAAGGGAGGGCTAAGTGTTATAATTTAAAATAGGATGATCAAGAGATGACTTACTAAGAAAGTGCCATTTAAGTGACAACCTCAAGAAGGAGAGGGGGGAAGCCATGCAGATAACTGTTTGGAGAGTGTTCTGTAGAGAGCGGACAGCACATGCAAAGGCCCTGAGATGGGGGTGTGCTTAGCTGGTTCAGGAAACAGCAGTAAGGTCAGTGGGGCGGAAGTGAAGTGGTTGATGGGGATGATGGCAGGAGGTGAGGTCTGTGGTCCATTGTAAAGACATCTGCTGTGATGAGGAGCCTGGAGGGAGCTAAAGGAGCCTTCCAGACAGAGGGAGCAGCATGTGCAAAGGCCCTGTGGTGGGACCTTGGGAGACGGGCAAGAATGCTGGCCTGGCAGGAGTGGAGTGAGCCAGGCAGGGGGAGAGTGATCGGGGATGAGGCCCGTGTCTGGGTTTTATTCTATGTGCAGAAACCCTTGGCATTTTAAGCACTTTAAGTTATGGAGGATGTGATCACATGTGTATTTTCTTTCTTTTTTGGGGGGGTGGGGGGGCGCGCCTTGTGGCATGTGGGATCTTTGTTCTCTGACCAGGGATCACACCCATGCCCCCTGCAGTGGAAGAGCAAAGTCCTAACCACTGGACCACCAGGGAAGTCCCCCACATGTGTATTTTCAAAGCATTCGCTCAGGATGCCGCAGGGGGGTGGATGTAGGTGTAAGAGTGCATGCAGGGAGACCAGAAGGTCCATGCAGACGTGACGGTGGCCTCAACAAGGGTGGCAGTGGAGACTGAGAGAAGTGCAGGTGTTCAAGCTACATTCCGGGGGTTGAGCTGGTAGGTTCGAGTGATGCGTTGGGTGCGAGGGTTGAGGAGAGAGAGTGAGGTAGGGGATGGGGACCCGCCTTTTACTGGACCAGGGAACGCTGCGGGGTGGGTGCACAGGATCCAGAGTGGGGATATTAAGAGCTCCATTAGTGATGCGTTCGACACACCCAAGTGGAGATATGAGATATGCAATCCTGGAGCTCCAAGGAGTGCCTGGGAGGAGGGAATCTGCAGCTGCGGGAATGGATGAGGCTATGCAGATGGACAGCCGTGTCTAATGGAGTTTCCACACCCAGTGGGGAGGTGGGATGACTCATGGACTCGGGATATCGCTGTATGTCATGGCTGCGCAGAGGGGAGAGCATCCAAGATTAAATGCCAGATTACAGGCTTCCCTGGTGGCGCAGTGGTTGAGAGTTCGCCTGCCGATGCAGGGGACACGGGTTCGTGCCCCGGTCTGGGAAGATCCCACATGCCGCAGAGCGGCTGGGCCCGTGAGCCATGGCCGCTGAGCCTGCGCGTCCGGAGCCTGTGCTCCGCAACGGGAGAGGCCACAACAGTGAGAGGCCCGCGTACAGGGAAAAAAAAAAAAAAAATTAAAATGCCAGATTACATTTAGAGGTTGCGTGGTAATATGAGCATCAATAATAGCTAATATTCATTGAATAATCTCCGTGTGCCAGGCACCATCTAAGTGCATCCCATGTTTGTTTGTTTTTGGCCGCATCGTGTGGCCTGTGGGATCTTAGTTCCCCGACCAGGGATCGGACCCAGGCCCCCTGCAGTGAAAGTGCAGAGTCCTAACCACTAGACCACCAGGGAAGTCCCCAAAGTGCATACCATGGTTTAACTCACCTCCTCCACGTGGAACATTATGATATGAGTACTATCCTTGTCCCCATTTTATAGGTAGGGAAATTGAGGTCCAGAGAGGTCAGGACAGCGAAGGGCAGAGCTTGGATTCAAACTGCAGAATTCACACTCATAACCACTCCAGCCACGGAGACTGGGAAGAAGCCTGTGATAGAATTAGCTCTGAAGAACCCAGGAAGCATAGAACAGGGTGTAACTTCCTCAAGGGGAAGCAGGGAGTGACCTTGGAATCAAATTCTAAATAAAAGCTCAACAGGGAAGGAGTGAGGTGCGACCCAGGAGATCTACCCCCAGAGGGAAGATGTTGCTGCTCAGAAGCAGATAGACCTGCTGGGTCTGAAACCCAGTGCTGCTCCTTAGCTGTGTGGCCTTAGGAAAATTCCTTGCCCTCTCTGGGCTTCAGTTTGGTCATCTGTAGGGAAACTGCAGCTTCTTTGCCCACCAGCTCCCCATGAGATTGCCAAAAATTTAAAATGTCTCTCAGCGGCAAGGATGAGGGATAAGGGTGGGCAGTTTGACATCTAGAGAGATGCCTTCCGCACGGCAGTCCCACAATTAGGTGTTGAGCAATTCCCACTCATGAAGAATCCACTGCAGCAAAACATTGGCTACAACCGAACCGCCCATCCACAGGGGCATAAATAAATCGGCAGTTGTGTGTTTATACGATAAAATGTTACACAAGGTTAAGAAAAAGAAGGAACTAGAGTTATATGCATTTAACTGAAAGGACAGCTTATCACTTGCCAGCCCTGTGACCCCATGGAGTAGGTGCCATTACGATACCCATCGTACAGGTGAGGAAACAGAGTCGTGGAGAAGTGAAGTGACTTGCTCAGCCAGCTAGGAAGGAATGCAGCCAAAAAGCAGGCTGTGAGAAGGTGTTTGCTGTATATATGTATATGTGCAGTCTTTCTAGTTGTAGGAAGCTAACACATGTGGAAACAATATAGCATTAGGGAGTCCCACCTGTATAGCTAAGGTGTAAAGGCATGCTTGGGAACTATTAACTAAAGGCTTCTCTGACAAAGGGAAGGGATGTGATTGGGCCTCGCAAGGGCTGTAACTCTGCAATGCTGCTTCCTTTTTTTCGATGTATATTTTAATTTAAAAAATCTCATCGATCACACACTAATGGATCACGAATGAGAATGTGGCCATATCTTAGAGCACATTTTGAGTACACACGGACCCAGGGAGTATGCCTGCACTTGGTGGGCTGACATTTTAACAGGAAGACAGCTTCAGTTTGTGTTCTTGATGGAGTCCTCCTAAAACCCGGCATCTTGGAAAGAAATCTTCACAACACTGTTATTACTCAGTTCTCCCCGTATCTCTCAAGGTGGCGAGGATGGTTATGAGCCTTCCTGGACGTGGGATACACCTTCAGGAGAGGTCCCAGCCAAGGGGACCCCCACCGCAGGCATACCTGGACCCTCTGGCACTGCTGGCACCATCAGGAGCCCAGGCCATCCCTCTCTAGCTCCAAGGGTCCGTGGGGATACAGGTGAGGCATGTGGCTGGGGCGAGGGGGCCAGGGTGTTTGTGTGGTGGGATGGAGAGGTGGACTCCAGATTTCCCCATGGTGACCCAACTCTCACCCTAGAAAGACCAGGCAGAAATATATCGTGAGACAACGGGTTATTATCTATACCAGTGGTCTTTAACTGGGGGCAACTGGCAACATCTGAAGACATTTTGGGTTGTCATGACTGGGAGCAGGGAGGCTACTGGTACCTGGTGGGTAGAGGCCAGGGATGTTGTTACACATCCTCTGGTGCACAAGGTATCCCCCACAGCAAAGAATCATCCAACCCCAGATGTCAACAGTGCCAAGGGTGAGAAACCCTAACCTATACCATGTAAGTCACTCTGACAAATAAGAAAATGATAGGAAATCCTATAAGAGAATGGGCAAAAGATACAAACAGGCGATCTGCAGAAGAGGAAGCCCAAATGCCCAACGAGTATATCTGGAAGTGCTCACATTCATCATGAATCAGAAAATTCAAATTAAAACAATGACGAGCATGGAAAAAAATTTGAAAGGTAGATAATACCAAGTGTAGGTGAGGGTGTGGGGAGACAGGCATCCCCACTGGCTGTAGCAATTCGATAAACACAACCTAGTGGTGTTTAGTGAAATTAAATATGATTATACGTTATTACCCAGCAATCCTGCTCCTAGATCTATATTCCAGAGAAATTCTTGCACAGGCTTATAAGGGAATATGTGTGAGGATGTATTAGGGAATTGGAGGCAAGTTAAGTGTCCAACAGCAGGGTAACAAGGAAGAGAAATGCAATGGTTACACGTGATGGAATTTTATGCAATAGCTAAAGCAATGATGAGCTATATACACAGCAACATGGATAGGTATGAAAAACATAATACTGAGGGGAAGGTCAAACAGAATGAGATTTCCAGCAGAATATTATTTGCAGAAATTAAAAGCACAAACACAAAAATACACATACACTTATATATTAACATAAACACATCTACGCATTCCGTATTGTTTAAGATCACACATATGTTTAAGGCCATATGTGAAACACACTAGAGTGGAGGTACCTATGGGAGAGGACGAGGGGATGGAGATTGGGGTTAAAGAGGAGAAAAAGTAAAATAAAACAAGAGAAGACATCGCAGGGACTATTAATGACAACGCACAGTGGGGTATGAGTAGCTTAGCTCTCTGCACCTTGGGTCTGAAAAATTAAAAATCAATACCACTCTAGGTTACTGAGGCCCTGTTCTATCGAACTAAGCTGAGATTCTTGAAATAATAACTAGGCACAGTTAACATTTATCAAGCAATATACCATGTGTCAGGCACTATTTTATGCACTTTATATGTATTATGCTTTAACATATTTATATGTGTTAATCCTCGTAGCAGCCACATGAGCCCTTCATGAATGATGTAAGTGCTATAATTGTTCCCATTTCACTGATAAGAGAAATTGAGGCACAGACATCAATGACTATGGCAGTATAAATAATCATGAGAATGCTTGTCATGTGCTAGGCATTGTGTAAGTGCTCTGCACAAACACGATCTCTGAATCCTCATGATTACTCTACAAGGGAGGTATGTGGATATCTATGGTTTACAAATGGGGAAGAAACTGAGATTCAAGGCAGGTAAGTAACTTGCCCATGATTACCCAGCTAGGAAGTGATGGAGCTGGGGTTTAAATCCAGGCAGCCTGGCTGGAGGCCAAGCCCTTTACTTAACTGCTCCTCTGGCCCTGCAGGGGGACACGACGCACCTCAAAGACCCTGCAGAAAAGTGGAATTCTGTTGAGCTGTGCTGTTCAATATGGTAGCTACTGACACAGGTGGCTATTTAAATTTAAGTGAATCAAAAATTTGAAAAAGGAAGGACCTACTGTATAGTACATGGAATATACTCAATATTTTATAATAATCTATAAGGGAAAAGAGTCTGAAACAGAATATGTATATATGTGTGTGTGTATGTATATATATCTGAATCACTCAGCTGTACACCTGAAACTAACACAACATTGTAAATCAACTATACTTCAATTTAAAAAATTTTAAAAAAGAAATCCATTCAAAGGTAAAAAAAAAAGAAAATTGAAAAAGGAAACATTCATTCCTTAGTTGAACTAGCTACATTTCGACTGCTCAGAAGCCACAGGTGACCAGTGGCTACCATATTGGACAGCACCGAACATTTCCATGACTGAGAAAGTGATACTTAATGGCCTAGGTTCTGTATGTAAAGGAATTGGGTTCAGATCTTGTCCCTGGAACTTTCAAACTGTGTGTGACCTCAGGCAAGTTACTTACCCTCTTGGCCTTATTTCTCTCATCTGTAAAAAGTGCTTAAAATTCACATTTACCTGGAAGCAGGGCCTGGAAGAGGGTAAGCCTTCTCATTTTACTCGGGCCTAAAATTTGGGGGCATTCCAAACACTTAGTAATGAAGATAAATAAGATCTTAATACCATAGGTTAAAAAACAAATGAATGCAAAAACAATCCACGATGAACTAAATAAAATTTTAACTAAAGTCAGGATCTGACCTACCTCACCAGGATCTGACAGAGCCAATTTTAGGGGGGATTCCGGTGAGGTAGGTCGGATCCTGTCTTGGATTAAAATTTTGACTTTTTGTTCATTGTAGATCTTTTGTATTAATTTTGATTGTTTAAAAATATGGCGTAAAGAGATTTGTCTTGATTACTAAGATTACCCTTCAGATTCCCCCTCATGCTATGCACCGTCTCCCACTCCCCTCTCCCTCTTTATCTCCCTTCATCCCATCTCTGCCTTTCGGCCCCCTCTTACATCCCAGGTACCCCTCCACATCCCACCTCCCCCCTGCCGCCCATCTCCGCATCTCCCGGAGGGGAGGACGCCAGGTGGCGCCTGGAGACATGGAGGAAGCGTGGAGGTGGGGCACTAGGGCGGATGAAGTCTGCCGGCGACCCATGACATCACAAAGCTTTCTGCCTTCCCATTGGTCAGCCCACCCCTAGGAGGCGGACCATGCCGCGGGGTGGGCGGAGCAGACTGACCTCCGCCGGCCGTCTTTCCTCCAACAGGTTCACTGAGGAAACCGTGGCCCGAGCGACGGCTGCGGCCCACAGCGGCCAGGACTGCGCCCCCCACCACTTCCCCAGCTCCCTCCGCCTCGCCGGGGCCCCCGGGCCCTGTCCTGACCTCTGACTCCGCGCCGCAGCTCATCCCCACAGCAGCTTCAACGCCGGAGGTGACCTCTGACCCTCCCGCCACTTTGCCGCCCAGCCCAGACCCGGCCTCCTGGATGAACTCTCACCGCACCTTGACAACCCCTGGCCTTACCTTGTCCACCCCTGATGCCACCGTGTTTCCAGCGCTGACCCCTGGGCTTTCACCCACTCCACCACCCACCATGCCCAAAGAACTGACCTCTGACCCCTCTGCACCGGCGGTGGTGACCCGTCTTTCCCCTACCTCAGAGCTGACACCAGAGTCTGACACAACCCCAGTCTGGGACACATCTCCATACCCCAGCACAACTCCAGAACCTTCTAGTTTCCCAGACCCTTCCACAAGTCCTCACCCCACTACCATCCCTCACTCCACCATGACCTCTCACCCTACCACGACCTCTCACCCCACTACCACCCTTTACCCCACCACGACCCCTCACTCTAAGACCTCTCACCCCACCACGACCTCTCACCCCACCACAACCCCTTATCCCACCATGACCTCTCACCCCACTGCCACCCCTTACCCCACCCCCACCCCTCACTCTACCACAGCCTCTCACCCCACCATGACCCCTCCTCCCATCACCACTGCTCAACCTATCACAACCCCTTACTCAACCACAACCCCTCAACCCACCACGACCCCTCAACCCACCACGACCCCTTATCCCACCACAACCTCTCACCCCACCACAGCCCCTTATCCCACCATGACCTCTCACACCACCGCCACCCCTTACCCCACCCCCACCCCTCACTCTACCTCAACCCCTCACCCCACCACAGCCCCTCCTCCCATCACCAGTGCTCAACCTATCACAACCCCTTACCCAACCACAACCCCTCACCCCACCACGACCCCGCAACCCACCACAACCCCTCCTCCCATCACCAGTGCTCAACCCATCACAACCCCTTACCCTGCCACAACCCCTCACCTCACCACCACTGCTTACCCCACCATGACTCCTCACCCCACCTCAACCCCTATGGTCACTGCCAAGTCCCTTCTAACTTCCTTGGGAACAGAACTTCCCTTTCCCTCTTCAGCACCAACAGTCAAGCCCAGCCCACACCCCCGGTTGACCTTCGCAGGGGCCCCTCACCCCTCCACGTCCCAGATGTGGAGCCTAGAGCCCTGTCCAGCAACAGAGTCCAGCCCCTGCAGGCCCTCTCCAGCCCCCAGCGTAGACACACTGTCCACTGAGAACTTCAAACCACCCACAAGCCAGAGCCCCAAAGTAACCTCTCCACCTACCCAGACTCCACACTCAGCCTCTGACCCCACTGTGACCCCTGACCTCCACCTGTCCCCTATGGCCCCCCCCTTGGATCAACCTCCCCCTGACCGCCTCACCCTAGGGCCAACTCCTGGTCAGAGCCCAGGCCCCCTTGGCCCATGTGAAGCCCCAGTGCCACCTGTAAGGGTCATGGCTTGTGATCCGCCTGCCCTGGTAGAGCTGGTGGCTGCTGTGAGGGATGTGGGTAGCCAGCTACAGAGGCTGACACAGGCTCTGGAGCGGGACCAGCAGGAGCGCCACGCCCTGGGACTGGGGTTGACCCAGCTGGTGGAGGCTGCCCAGGGTCTGGGGCAGCTGGGTGAGGTTGTAAAGAGACTGGCAGAGGTGGCCTGGCCCCCCAGCACACCTGCACCAACCACTACTACCCCAGAGGAGGAAGAGAGGCCTCTGCGGGGAGATGTGTGACCTCATCTGGGGTCTGAGGGACTTAAGACACTCCCAAACCCAAATAGGAAAACCAAAGTATCTAATTAAAAACAAAATGTGAATGATGTTTCTGGGGGACTAGAGGAGGTGGAATCACAAGATCTGTTTGTGAATACAACAGGCACCATGTGAGGTGGTGAGGATGGTGAGGACGATGGTGACAGTGGTGATGAGTATGATGGTGGTTATGATGGTGAAGATGATAGTGATGGTGAGGATGATTATGATGATAATGGTGGTGGTGATGAAGGTGACCATGATGGTGGTGATGCCTATCCTGATGGTAATGTGATAGTAATGATGAAAGTGATGGTGATGATAATGGTGGTGATGGTGGTGATGGAGATGGTGGTGGAGATGATGGTGATGATGATGGTCATGAAGATCATGGTAATGACTATTGTAATAATGGTGGTGATGGTGATGATGGAGATGATGGTGGAGACGATGGTGATGATGATGGTCATGAAGATCATGGTAATGACTATTGTAATGATGGTGATGATAATGGTGATGATGGAGATGATGGTGATGAAGATGATCAGGGTGATGATGGCAGTGATGATCATGATGGCAGTGATAATGGCCATGATGAAGCCCCACGAGGGCAGAAATCTTTGTCTTGTTCACAGATGTATGCCCAGCTCCTAGAACAGAACCTGACACCGACTGCACCCTCCATTAATATTTTTTGAATGACGAGTGCGTGATAATAATAACTAGTGTTCACTGGGCACCTCCTATGGGTCAGGCTCTGTTCTGAGGGCTTTGCGTGCATGATGTCATTTTACCTTCATGAACACCCACTGAGGAGGGTACTTTACCACAGCTCAGCAGGGGGAGGGTGAACTTTGGAGCCTAAATGCCTGAGTTTTGAGCCTTTGAGGGCATGACCCTGAGCCAGTTACTTAACTTCTTGGTCTGAGTTTCCCCATCTCTAAAAGGGAAAATAATAATAGTACGCACCTCAGGGGCTGCTGTGATGATTAACTGATAGATTAATACCTATGTGAGAGTGCTTAGCACAGGGCCTGGCTCTTGATAAGTGCTCAATATGTGATGGGTATTATTGTATTTATCCCCATTTTACAGATCAGGGCACTGAGGCGCAGAGACATTTGGTTGTGTACCCCAGGCCACTCAGGGAGTGCGTAGTAGAGTCATGATTGGTACCCAGGCCTGTCTGACCCAGGGCCCTTGCTCAGAAGATATTACGTGCCCAAATCAGATTATCCTCGATTCAAGGCTGCCTCTTGGCTCTGGGACTCTAGCCGTTAATTTCCTTTCTCCAGCCTCAGTTTTTCCACCTGTACAATGGGGATAGTGGTCGTTCCTGCCTCCTGGGGTGGTTGTGAGGATTAGATGAGCTAGTGCAGGTGAGGACACAGCTTAGCACACGTGCTCAGTTAACAAGAGTGACCATGACGGCTCCTAACCGTGCTTCTCTGTGCCGGACACAATGTGGACTCTTAATACACTACATCCCACCCTCACTATAGCCCTTGGGGGGAGGAACTTGACCCCTGTTTCAGAAAGGGCATTGAGGCTCAGAGAGGGCAAGCCCCTTGCCTCAGTCCACAGAGAAGAGCTGCGGGGACTCAGAATAACAATGCAAATTCCTCGGCATCAGACTTGGCCTGGGGTTCCAGGTTAGGCTTCCACGATGGGCCCCCGCTGAATGTCCTTAGGTGGGCCTCCTCCTCTCTCAGCCTCAGCTTGTAAACTGGGGGCTGTCTTGGAAGACCCCCCAAGTTGTATTCTGGCTGCTGCAGCCTCAGGCAGGGAACCATTCCCTCCTCCCCACCTCTCCCCAGACTGGAGCCTGGCTCAGAGGTCCTGGAAGGTCATGGAGCTGCTGCCCCCGCAGTCCTGCAAAGGCCGGCAGGGTCCAGTTACTTGCTGGGGGCGGGGAAGGATACTGTCCGAGGGTCTTGATAGATGAACTGCCTGCCCCTGCCAACAGATGAAGAAGCACACTGAGAGTCCTGTTCCCCGGGTCTCATTAGCCCTAAGACTTAAATAACTGCTGACTAGTAACCTGGGGAGGGCCTCTGCTAGTCGGGACTCCAAGTGTGGCACCCCAGCTTGGAAGCAAGAGGTCCCCTTTTTCGTTCCCAGGTAGGAGCAGGTGCACCCCTACTCCAGGTCACCCCAGAGGGCCCCACTGGGGATTCAGGCTCCTGGCGGCCCTCTGCAAGCCAGGGTTGGGGGAGCTACTGGGCACTCGGGCCCGAGGTCCCTCCACCCTCTGCCACCTCCTGCCAGCCCTAAAGAAGCGGGTGCTTAATTATCCGGTCACTCTATCCCTGCTTGGCCAGGCAGCTAAGCCCAAACATCTGGCCTCGGGGCCCATGGCCAGGATAGGAGGCCAGCCCCCACCTACTGCTGGCCCTGACCCTGGACACCTCCCACAGGACATCTGAACCTGATCCTGTGCCTGCCAGCTTGCAACAAGCCCAAAACAGTAGCTTCAGAGGCCTAGCAATCTTGATGCAGAGAAAACATTTGACAAAATTAACACCCATTCATGGTTTACAAACAGGCACACACACGCACTCTTCGCAAAGTAGGAGCAGAGGGAACATCCTTAATCAGACAAAGGGTGGAAAGGGAGGCACAGATCTGTCATTTCCCACAGGCGATATGACTGACCACATAGAAAACCGCAAAGAATCAAGCGGACAAGTGTTTAGCATTAATGAGCGTTTAGCTGGGATGTGGGATCAATACTCTAAAATCCTGTTCTCACAATTCCTTGCACTTCAAAGTGCGACCCATGGACCAGAAGTGTCGGCCACCCCTGGGAGCTGGTTAGAAAAGCAGAATTTCGGGTGCCACCCAGACCCAACGGATCAGAATCTGCGTTTTAACAAGGTCAGGGGTTAGGGGTGCAGGGTGGGGTGGTGGTGATGCGTGGGTGCTGCCCAAGTCGTTTGCATGTCTGTACTTGAGCTGAACGAATGCAGAGAACAGTGTCTCTGAGGCCCTACAAGGCTGGCGCCCTTCTGGGTCCCAGGTAAACGCTTTCCTGCAAGGAGGGTGTGGGTTGGTTGCAGCCCCACAGCTTTAACGTTCTGCGGCCATGAGTCGATCTGATGCACATTGCGATTTTTTAGATTTTTTGGGTTTTTTGGGCCACACTGTGGCATGCGGGACCTAGTACCCTAACCAGGGATCAAACCCGGGCCCCCTGCATTGGAACCACTGGACCACCAGGGAAGTCCTGTGCATCATGATTTTTGATTTTGTGTTTGCAATGGATGATTCTGTGTTTTGAGGTCAATGAGACAAGGAAGCATTCTCTGGGCGCTGGGAGCGGGGACTCATGCAAAGCCCCACATCCCCTATAGGTTCTGGTGGCCAGACCCCTGGCTATCCAGCTTCAGGCAGGCTCCACGACCCCCTACCCCTTGAGGGTCTGCCAGTGATTATCCTGGTGCCCAGGGAACATGACATTCAGTAGCAAACGTGGGGGCCAGGGAGGGAAAAAGCTTTTTTTTTTTTTTTTTTTTTTTTGCCGTACGCGGGCCTCTCACTGCTGTGGAGCACAGGCTCCAGACGCGCAGGCTCAGCGGCCATGGCTCACGGGCCCAGCCGCTCCGCGGCATGTGGGATCTTCCCAGACCGGGGCATGAACCCGTGTCCCCCGCATCGGCAGGCGGACTCTCAACCACTGCGCCACCAGGGAAGCCCAAAAGCTTTTATTTAAAAACAAGAAACCCTACGTTTTCTCTTTTAAAATATTTATCTAGTTATTTATCTAGTTGGCTGCGCCGGGTCTTAGTCACGGCACGCGGGATCTTCATTGCAGCATGTGGACTCTTGGTTGTGGCATGCGGGATCTAGTTCCCTAACCAGGGATCCAACCCGGGGCCCCTGCATTGGGAGCACGGAGTCTTAGCCACTGGACCACCAGGGAAGTCCCACGTTTTCATTTTGTACTGGACACCCACACATTTTGTAACTGGTCCTGCTTGTATACTTGGGGTTCCCCAGCTGGGGTGTAGCCAGAGCTTCCTTGGTGATCACGGGCCCAGGTACACTTTGTGGGGTCGGGGGTGAGTGGGGAGTCAAGACCAAAGGCTTTGGAATCAGATTCAGCCACCTTTTGACTTTAGGGTCTTTGGAAAGTAGGGGCCTCGACAGTCTCGTCTGTAAAACGGAGAGAGACGTGAACGGGTCCTGTGTGAAGAGTGGGTCCTGAATTCAGCACTATTAGAAAAAGGGCAGGATTTTTCCTTTTTCATTTTCTTTTTAATGTGAACTCAGAGGCTCAGAGAAGGAAAGGAAACTAATCAAGGTCACAGCATGAGAACCTTGGAAATGCCTGTTTTAGTTTTTTTCTTTTAAGCAGCTTCATTGAGATGAAATTTATATGCCAATGTCACCCTTCTAAAAATTTTATTGAAATATGGTTAATTTACAGTGTGTTAATTTCAGGTGTACAGCAAAGTGATTCAGTTATACATACATCTATTCTTTCTTAGAGTATATATATATATATATATATTCTTTTTTAGATTCTTTTCCATTATAGGTTGTTACAAGATACTGAGTATAGTTCACTGTGCTATACAGTAGGACCTTGTTGGTTATCTATTTTATATATAGTGGTGTGTATATTTTAACCCCACACTCCTAATTTATCCCTCCCTCCCCCTTTCCCCTTTGGTAATCATAAGTTTGTTTTCTAAGTCTGAGTGTATTTCTGTTTCGTAAATAAGTTCATTTTATCATGTTTTTAGATTCCATGTATGTGATATCATATGATATTTGTTCTTCTCTGACTTCACTTAGTATGATAATCTCTAGGTCCATCCAAAGTTCACCCTTTTTACATGTACAATTCAATGACTTTTAATGCACTCAGAGAATTGTGCAACATTTAGCACAATCTAATTTTAGAGCTTTTCCACCACTATCGCCACCCCTAAAAAGCAAGCCTGTACCCATGAGCAGTCAGTCACTCCCCATTTCCCCTGGCAATCACTAATCTTTCTTCCTCTGTGGATACACAGAATCCTACAGTAGGTCATCTTCTGTGACTGGCTCTGGGTTTTTGAGGTTCATCCATGATGTAGCATGTGTCAGTGCTTCCTTCCTTTTTATGGCTGAGTAATACTCCACTGGATGGATAGACCACATTTCTTTTTTTTTTTCTGCACCACACGACTTATGAAATCTTAGTTCCCCAACTAGGGATTGAACCTGGGCCCTCAGCAGTGAAAGCGTGGAGTCCTAACCACTGGACCGCCAGGGAATTCCCTAGACCACATTTCTTTTATCCCTTTGTTAGTGGCTTGACATTTGGGTTGTTCCCACTCTCGCTATTGTGAGCAATGTTGCCGTGAACATTTGTGTGGAGGCATGTTTTTAGTTCTCATGGGCATTTACCTAGGAGCAGAATTGCCGGGCCATATCGTAGCTCCATGGTTAATTAACATTTTGAGGAACTGCCAGGCGGTCTTCCAAAGCAACTGCCCCATCTTTTACATTCTACCAGCCCCATAGGAGGGCTCCAACTTCTCCACCTCCTTGCCAGCACATGTTACTGTCTGTCTTTCCACTACGGCCCTTGCCTGGGTCCAAAAGCTTTTCGACCTTCCTTTCCATGTAGGTGTCCCAACTCGCATCTCCTCCAAGGGAGGGGTGGCCACCTCAGCAACACACACCCACATACTCACACTCATCCTTACTCTGTCACACTCACATCCACACTCACACATGTGTGCTCAGGCCCCCAGTCCCCTCACGACCCCTCCCCCAGGTCCTGACGGCCAGAGGACACTCCTCCAGTTTAAGAGCATGGAGCTTGGGACTCCCCTGGCGGTCCAGCTGTTAAGACTCTGCACTTCCAATGCAGGGGGCGCAGGTTCGACCTCTGGTCGGGGAATGAAGATCGAGCATGGACCTTGGACAGTTGAAGAGCTGGCCTGGATTTGAATCCTCCCTCTGCCCAACGTTCTGTGTGACCTCAGGCAGGCACCTCGGCTGCTCTGGACCACCTGTGTCCACCCCTGAAGTGGGGAGGATCTAAGGGACCCCTTCCAGCGAGTTCAGGACGTGCCACCTGCTGGGAGCTGCTTGAGGGGTAAGCGGCTTCATTCGAGTAAAGTATTATGATTAGTATTATGTGTCTTGTCATTAAGTAACGCTAAATTAGCACCACCCCATCCACTCCTGTCTCTTCCTCCAGCCCTCCTGCGGGGGCCCATCGCTGGGTCATTATCACCTCGTGGTGTATCCCCAGCTGATGCCACCAATTAGCACCCTCTGTGCCCCCCCCAGACCCTGCTCCTCTCCACTCCCCCGCCCCTCAGCCCCACCCCACCCCCCAGCCACCTCCAGCTTTTTTGGGACACATTCTTGGCCTAATTGCTTGGGTTATTTCAGATTCACGGGTGAGGTGTCAGGAGGTCCCGCTCGTGCTCCCCCTACTGCACCCACCATCTTATTCTCCCCCTACTCCAGGAAGCTCACCTGGATTGCCCGGGACAGGGGCCCATGTCCCCAGGTCTCTGGACTGAACTTAGATTGAAAGGATCCTTGGGGTCACTCCACACAGGCTGCCTCCACCACACCCCTCCCCTCCAGGCAACACCTTGGTGGCCACAGCAGGGGCCCTGGGGGGTGCAGGGCCAGGGAGAGGATGACATATGATCCAGCCCTGAGTTGTAGCCATTCTCTAGGCGGGCGGCCAAGGAGGGCACAGAGAGGAAGAGAGAGTGTTTGCAAACAGGGCGGCTGCCAAGAAGGGGCCAGGGTGACGGGTGGCGGGGGCGGGTGGGTGTGAAGGAGAGGAGGGCCCAGCTGGTAACTGGCAGCCGCGCCTGTGACTTGTCTTCCCCCTGCTACACACACACACACACACACACCCCACACATGCAGGCCCAAGGCCTCACAGACACGCAAGCATCTCACTGCACACAGTGAGATGCACGCAGACTCTATTTTCTCCCCTCACCCAGGCAGTCACACGATTACATGAGCACACGGGGGCTCAGACGCTTGTAGACACACAAAGCCCACGCACTCATGTCATCTGCGTTCAAACCCTCATGTCTCTCTCTCTCCCACACACACAAACACACACCATTGTTTACACACACACGTGGGCTCAGACACTCATGGACACACAAATACCCAGAAATACACGCTCAAGTTCCTACCCACCTGAGAACAGCTGGACACTTCCCAGCTCTGGTGGCTAATCCCTCTCCTTCTCACACATATGTGTGCAGGGTAGGTGCAAACAGTGCTGACACACTCCCAGGGACACCACAAACGCACACGCGGAGCCAGCACCTCGCAGGAGCGCCCGGTGGGACCACTGTCTGCCATTCTTTCTGCCTCTGTCTGTCTCTCCGTTTCTCTCTGTCTCTGTCTCTCCTCCACAACATGCTCTCCAGGGCACACAGGCACGCACACGCCGGCCTTCTCTTTCCCACACTGCCAGACTGACAGCGTCACGGGGACCTAAGTGCCAGATGGACTTTATTTGCAGAGAGCGGTTGGGGTGACAGAGAGACAAAGCACATTATCGAGAGGGCGTGGGCCCAGCATGTGGGGAGGAAGAGGGAGTTAGGCAGGGAGTGGAACCCAGCAAAACAGAAAAGACAAGGGCAGGAAGACAGGCATACACGGAGGGAGGCTGTGCAAAACCAGGGGGGTCCGTTTACTGAATAAGCATCTGTGGACCACCTACACGGGGCAGGATGACCCCTTCTACGTGGCATCCGTCAGAGAGCAGGACAGGCTGAGATCCTGGGCCCCCGGGAGCCCACATTCCAGCCGGGCACACAGAATAACCACTACGAATAGATAAATTGTCCAGCTGGAAGGGAGTGAGTGTCACAGAGGAAAGGGGAGCGGAGCAAGAGTAGGGGGCTGGGAGTGCAGCCTGTAGTGTCCCGCGGTGGTGAGGGGCGGCCTGGCTGAGACAGCTTGGCAGGAGGTGCGGGAAAGCACCCAGAGCACCGCAGGCGAAGGGAGCAGCGGGTGCCAAGGCCCGGGGAAGATGGGGCAGGTGTGGACAGACACGGGGTGCTCCCGGAGACCCCCTTCCCCCGGACCAAGGCAGCAGACAGATGCCCTGACGTGGGAATTAAGGACAGAAAGGGGAAAATCATGAGACAGAGACCAACAGACAGCAGAGCAGCCAGCCGCCACCCATGAATGCGGAGGAGGCCTCAGGATGGGGGCTGGGGTTGCCTTCCGGAGCCTCCCCAGGCCGGGCTGGGCCCGGGCTGCCCCCGTGCTTCTCACTCTGGGTCCCCCTTCTCCCCCTGGGGCACCTCCTCGGCCTCCCCCTCCCGCTGCCTCCAGGGCCGCCCCAGGTAGTCCCGGATGGAGCTCACGGGGCTTCTCCTTCGGGGGTGAGGGTCCAGCAGCCCCCACAGGAGAGCATCTGCCACGGGTGTCAGGCCATGCCAGGGCTGAGGACGGGCCTGGGGCTGGCCTGAGGCCTGCCAGATGACGTAGTCCTCATAGAAGGGGTCGGCCTCCACCAGGGGCTGGTCCCAGGGGAAGTAGCCAGTGAGAAGGCAGAAGAGCAGGACGCCCAGTGCCCAAGCGTCCAGGGCGGGCTGGATGGGCAGGCCCTCAGGGAGGGGCGGGGGGCCACAGAGCTCCGGGGCCGTGTAGGGTATGGGCGGCCCCACCAGGCGCAGCAGGGTCCCGCGGGGCCGCGTGTGGCCGAAGTCGGTAAGCTTGACCCACCGGCAGGCTGGGTCGCACACCAGCACGTTCTCCGGCTTGAGGTCCCGGTACACCAGGCCGCGGGAGTGGATGTGCTCCAGGGCTGAGGCCAGCTGGGCCGCACAGCGCTGGGCTGCTGGCTGCAGGAGGCCCACCTGTGGGTGACAGGTGTCAGGGTCCACCACCCTGCCTGCCAGCCAGAAGGGAACGGGGCCATAGCGCTTGTCCTCGGCCCCGGGGACCAGGCCCAGGGGATGGAGGGCCCCAAAGAGGGTGGCTCTGGTGAGGCCTGGTATGAGCCCCGTGAGGCCTGGTGTGAGCCCCGTGAGGCCTGGTGTGAGCCCCGTGGGCCCTGGTGTGAG